CCTTCTTCCTCTTCTTCCTTTTCCTCTTCCTCTCCTCCTCCTTCCTCTCCTCCACCTTCTTTTTCTTCTCCCTCTCTTCTTCCTCTCCTCCTCCTCTTTCCTCTCCTCCTCCCTACTCCTTCTTCTTCCTCTTCATCTTTTTCCTCTTCCTCTTCCTCTTCCTCTCCTTTTCCTCTCCCTCCTCCTCATCCTTCTCTCCTCCACCATCCTCCTCCTCCCCTTTCCCCTCTCCCTCCTCCCCTCCCCGCATCTTGACTGGATCCTCTGGAGCTGCTGTTTGTGCTCCTGGAGCGCCCCTCTTTGCCTGTCCCCCGCCTGTAGCCCTGCGCCCAGGGATGTGCTCTGTGGGAGGTCCCAGGTCCGCCGCGGGCCCGCGCTGACCGCCCTCCCTCCGCAGCCCACGGGCAGTTCTCCGTGGCCGTGCGGGGCTGCGGCTCCGGGATCCCCGGCAAGAACGACCGCGGCCTGGACCTGCACGGGCTCCTGGCCTTCATCCAGCTGCAGCAGTGCAGCGGGGACCGCTGCAACGCCAAGCTCAACCTCACGTCGCGGGGCCTCAACCCTGCAGGTGGGTGGGGGCGGGGTGGGGCGCGGGCCGCCGAGGCCGGGGGGATGCGGGGCGGAGGAGGCCCAGGGCCTGCAGAGCCGCACTTCTCCGGTGGCTCCGCGGGACGGCCGGCCTCGAACTTGCTGCTTTCCTGCCCGCTTCCTCCCGACACTCTGCTTCCGCTCCCCGCCCCGCCCCCGCAGGCAATGAGAGCGCCAACGAGCCCAACGGCGCCGAGTGCTACAGCTGCCTGGGGCTGAGCCGCGAGCAGTGCCGCGGCACCACGCCGCCCGTCGTGAGCTGCTACAACGCCAGCGGCCGCGTCTACCGGGGCTGCTTCGACGGCAACGTCACCCTGACGGCAGGTGAGCCCGCGCCCCTGGGGCTCAGACCCGGAGTCCGGTAGGAGACTGCGGGGACCGGAGCGGAGACAGACCAGGAGCTGAGATTTGTGCTTAGGCTTTTTGCCTAGGTGCCGTGGGAACTCTGTTTTGAGCCCTGGACACTTAGGGGTCCCGCTTGTTCCACAGTATTAAGGGACATAGTTCAGGGCAGGAGACATGGCTCAGCGGTAGAGCCCCTGCCTAGAGTCCCCCAGTGAGGGGCTGGGGTGTGGCTCAGGGGTAGAGCCCCTGCCTGGACTCCCCCAGTGAGGGGCTGGGGTGTGGCTCAGCGGTGGAGCCCCTGCCTAGAATCCCCCAGTGAGGGGCTGGTCCTCAGCCCATGGAAGGAAGTTCCTTCTGGTGCAGGCGTTTCTCAGGAGCTCCGCTTCAGACTAAATTAGCCAGGAGCTGAGAGAGACCAGGCGAGGCTATGTGAGTTTTGGTGGCAGAAGTGACGCTGTTGAAGCCTTTGCTCCAAGATAAACCTGGAGCTCAGGGTTGGGTCCTTCTCCTCTCAAAGCGCTTTGCAGAAACGCAGTCCCTGTCCGCGCCGCGCCGGCGGCCCAGGGCTGTGCACAAAGTCCAGCGGCTCAGCTCTGTTTGGCCTGGGAGCCGGCCGCGCTCGGCTCGCTCGGGAGCCCTGGTCTCCTCAGGCCGTGTGTGTGGGCGCAGACCTGTCTGTCTCCCCCTGCAGCCAACGTGACCGTGTCCTTGCCCGTCCGAGGCTGCGTCCAGGATGAGGCCTGCACCCGGGACGGCGTGACAGGCCCCGGGTTCACCCTCAGCGGCTCGTGCTGCCAGGGGCCGCGCTGTAACTCCGACCTCCGCAACAAGACCTATTTCTCCTCTCGGATCCCACCCCTGGTCCTGCTGCCGCCGCCCAGCACGGCAGCCCCGGCCACTGGGGCGCGGGCCTCCTCCAACGCGACCTCCACAGAGGCCCCGGCCCCGGCCCCGGCCGCCTCCACACCCGCCTCCACGGCCGCCTCCACGGCCGCCACCAGGCCCGGCCACGCTTCTGCCCCGGAGGAGGAGTCGCGGCCGGCCGCGGGCGCCGCGGGCCACCAGGACCGCAGCAACGCGGGGAGGCCCCCCGCGAAGGCCGGGCCCCCGGCGGCCCACGCGGCCCCGGGCCCCGGCCTGTCGGCCCTCCTGCTGACCGTGGCCGCGGGCGCGCTGCTGTGAGCGCCGGGCCCCGCTCGCCCTGGCTCCCGGGCTGCGCCGGCCCCTCCCCGTCCGCGGCACGGGTTCGCGGCCCGGGAGCGTGTAAATAGCTGGGGTGGCCCGGCCCGCGTGCCCCCGACGGTGACCTGGACTCAGGCGAGCGCCGCGGGCTGGAGGGGGCCTGGGGCGCAGGCCGGGCGGCCCACGGGGGGGCTGCGCCCGCCCGCCCACCCGGCTCCTTAGGACGCCGAGCCCTGGGCCGAGGCCTCCCTCCGCCCCTCTGTGGTTCCGTTCAGGCCCGGGAAGGCGGCAATAAAGATTTCGTAGCTTTGTACAATGAGTTCCCTGTGAGTTGGCTGATCCTACAAACAAAGGCTGTTACCTAAGCCAGGTCTTGGATAACAGGTGCCTGCTGCCCTGACTGAGGACCCAAGTTCAATCCCCGAAGCCCACATTGGAGCGCTGGCTGCTCCTTCCCTGGGTGACGGTCCTGAGTTCAATTCCCCGCACCCGTATGTGGCTCCCAACCATCTCTGGTGATGTATGGTGAGATCTGGCGCCCTCTGCTGGCGGGCAGCTGTACACGCAGGCGGAACAGCGTACACGCTGAATAACTGCTTGTCCCCTGACCCCCACTTGAGTGTCACGGAGTGTGTGCTTCCCTTCCCACAAAATGGAGGAATACATACACGCTCCAAGGGAAGCAAACATGGACAGGACAGAAAGCAGGCCCTGGGAGACGTGTAAGGTCAGATAGGCAGCACAGACACTGGTTCAACATTATTCTGTTAAAATCGGGTTTGCGATGTAGCCCTGGCTGGCCTGGACTGGTAAAACACCAACTCAGAGTCAACTCTTGGCAATTCTCCTGCCTCAGCCTCCCAAGGCCCCGAGGACCTCCTTCCTGCTCTCTCCTTCCACCGTTTGGGTCCTGCAGATTGAACTCAGGCATCAGGCGTGAGCAGCCGAGACTCATCCAAAGAGCATTTCACGTCATGCTGGGCGGAGTGAGACTATGAAGTCGAGCTGCTGGCGCCAGGGCTGGAGGCGTAGTTTGCCACGCTTCGGCTGGACCCTGGGCTCAGCCCAGCCCTGAAACAGAAACCCTGCCTTTCCAGCTTTCTCTGTCTGTCTATCTATCATCTATCTATCTATCATCTATCTATCTATCTATCTATCTATCTATCTATCTATCTATCTATCTATCATCTATCATCTATCATCTATCATCTATCTATCATCTATCTATCATCTATCTATCTATCCTCTATTTATCTATC